AGTCATCGAGAAACAGTTTCCCAGTCCTCTGTATCCGTGTGTAGATGCGTGCGGTAACCAGGAAGAGTGCGACAACGCCGAAAGAAACGACAGGTCCAAGGTAGATGGCGGCTTTGTTGGAGTATGGCACCGCGGCCATCGGGTCGGCCATCGAGTGGTGGCGTATCGTGGGGTTTGACCAGAAGGTGAGGATACGGAGGAGTCTGGGGTATTGCAATTGTCTTGCACGCTACGTGCGACTAGTTGTCATGGGCTTCGTGAGATACTCAAGGAATCCTCGTATGCTGCGATACCACCAAAGCTACACACCCGTCGACGGACAAATCGTGACCGGAAGCCACGGATAGACAAGACGAGGAGACGAGGAGACGAACAGGCAAACAAGAAGAAAGAAAAGCCTAGATACCCTAGGCTTGTAGAGGTGTTGAACAAGTTTAAACTTTCGCACCTCGGGATCCGGCTCATCGACGCTATATACGGACCGCTGCAAGCACCGTATTTCCCGCCATTCTGACATGCGACAGCGTGGATTGATGAGGCGCCCGGCCATATGTCCTGTGAAGGCTACCACCTGCAGGAACAATAAAGTTCCAAGCAAACCTTCCGTCCTTCAGCGCGGAGACGAACTTGCGCAATGCAGATGCGGTGGGGAGGGAACCGTTGCTTTGACACGGCAGATGGGCCAGGGCCCTCAGGCATCCATCGTCAAATGTTGGTTGCAGATGAGCCGTTTACCACGCGACTGCTAGACTAACCTGGGTCTAGGCGCTCGCTCGGCTGGGTATAGTGAGGCTATCGCAAGCGGGTAGTGGCGTGGCATGATTCACGTACCTGGAGCTGCTGAAGCAATGGCTTCGTTTTTGATGGGTGCATCGCCCCTGAGTTGTTCAGCTCCGCGAGCAGGTTTATGCGGTAGATGCACGTCAACGGTGAATGTTGCAAGTTTCGACCCCGGATTACTACTGTCGCAATGACTCTAGCAATCAGATGAGAGAAAGAGGAAAGACGAAAAACCTGCGCTGCCGCTTGCTACGCCTACTGTGTTGCAGCTGCGACAAGATGCACATCTCATACTCAAGAATCTAGCCATCGGGCTATTCATTCCCTTCGCGGTGATGTATTCCGGTAAACTAATCGGTTTCATCGCTGCGATACCATCGACTCTGGCCCTGGTCCAGCGGCAGTACGTGCGTACCGTGTCCGGCGCGGCCTCTTTGTGATCTGAGGATTCGCAGCTGAGCGCCGTCATTGGCGGCATTATAGGGGTCTGAGTCGCACAGCATCCGTAAGGATGATCTGTCCAAATGCGAGTCAATAAGTTCGGAAGGATCGCATTGCGCAAGCACTGCAGGATGAAAGAATTCTGGTTGTTGGGAACTCTTGGAGTTGAGGATTGGCCGCCACGACGGGCGGAAGACGGCGGAAGACGAGAACCTGGATGCAGACTGACTCGTATCGATAGCCCAGGGAACTGATGGCTCGCACATCGCATTCAGAACTTTGGTAGCATGCGAACTATGCGGTAGCAGAACCAGAGTCCCATATGCGCCATCCTTCTTGCATGCTGCAGGGCCGCTGGCGTTCAGGCTATACGAATGTCTGTAACACGCCAGGTCAGCCACCGCGTGAAAGATTACTGATGGAAAGATGTAAGCCCAACTTCGGGCCTTCTTCTATATCCCTCATTCTCTCTCCAAGAATAGGAGTACATCGGTGTAGAAATCCAATGGTCGTAAGCTTGATGGGAAGCTTCCGCGGTATCTGATTGGTCTATGACATCATGCCCCTCACTTTAGCGCAAGCACGCAACCTGCATTGAAACTCTATCGCAAGATCGCAACCGGACATTGATCATCAACCACATTCTAAGCCCTATCCGTTACCCATCCTCCGAAACCCGATTAGAAAGCTTTGCTATGGTCGAATGTCCAGAGTGCGGTGCAGGGGCTGATTTGACGAAAGACGGTGCTTGGGCGCATTGCGCTTCCTGTATGTCAACGCCCCTGATTTCGTAGACATGCATGCTGAGTTGTTATGAGGCAACACGGTATTTGAGCCAGGAAAAGAAGGTAGCCACTACAAGGGCAGCGGAAGCGGGTCTGGCGACAAGGAAGAAGAGAAGAAGAGGGATGCGAAGGATGAGAACGTGAAAAAGGATTGAGATTAAGGGGACGAGCTTGACTTCGAGCGTGAGATGTTTAAGAATGTTGATGTATGTTCACCTAGTGATGACCATGGGTTGTACGCAAAGGCCGGACCTGCTTACAGCACGAATGAAATCGCTAATGTAATGACAGACATACAATATACGGCACATGCGTATCTCGCCCGATGTCCAGCAATGGTACATGATCGACGAAGATCTCTTCTTGCGCCTATGTCGTCTTTATCTCCGTGATCCTTTCGCTCCAATGGAGTAGCTCGTACCTGAGCGATACGCTCTCGACGTAAGAAAACGTAGATTTATACTAGCCTTCCACAGCGATTCGTCTTGTCGGCGGAGACCGCAGATTTCCGCGGGCATCAGCTGTCTCAACATGATCTTTTCGACTTCGCTAGCAATTGTCAGTTGGTTCATTCCATCAGTGGAAAATACTGTATACTTACGCATTGCCCGAATCAGGTTTGTTCTCAACGTCATATCTGGTCAAGACCTCCTCGACATAATCCAATAACGCTACCGCGGAGTACTGAGATGGGAACAGCTGCTTGCAATCTTTTGATTGGCAGTCGTGTCGGGTCTTTTGTCCGTGGAAATACTGGTCCTTTGGATAAATAGAGGACACTTTACGCGATTTCCCCCCGCCGACTCCCCCGGATGCTTTTGCCAGATCGTATTGGATGCGATATGCGCTAGAGAAACGACTGAACTCTGTCTCGACGACCTTTCCTAATCCATTTATCCACAGCGTAGTAGCTGCGTACCCGACAGTCTCTCCGAATGTGTCATTCAGCGCATTCAAAGCGTTCAGTCGAAGTTCTTGAAACGTGATTGTTTGCTCGGCGAAAAGGGAACGGCCACCCGGTGTAGAGGTCAATGAACGGATCGTGACAGTGCGATCACCCCAATACGAAGATGTCTCCAAAAGTAAGGGCAGCACGCTGATGCGCAGGTCTTCCAAGGCGGTCGGATCTGCTAGGTCGAACTCCAGCACAACGCTGAGCTCTTGTGACTTCTCCAGCTTCCAATGGGGCGCTGACCACCGCAAAGGTCCTGATATTCCGTGATATTTTTGTCCGGGATCCTCGGGAGTTGTAAATGTACGACGTAAGATGCGAGCAAGTTTGCTAAAGTTAGTGAACGTACTGCGCTTTTCCCTTGAATGAAGCAGCAAGGTGTACGATGCGGCTTGTAGTAAGCTTGCCCAACAGGTCTCATGAAGCCGCCTGTTGGCGTAAGTGAAGTTCACTGGCAAGCTTGTGTCCACATCAAGATCGATGCAGATTTTCTCCCGCTCACTAAGAACCTCGGAAAAGATCTTGGACAGTATGGGATGGACGGGTAAGGTTAGCAAGGTAGGAGATGTCGGCTTTGTCAAGGTAAGGCACCGTCCACTATCCTCAGCGGCAAAACTGTAGATTTGTCGCTCGCTATCGAGTGCGGGTCGGCTTGTTGGGCCAGAAGGTAATGCTTTACCCAAACGGAACATACCGCCGGAGCCGTCATATTTGATTGCGACTGCGAGCATCTGACTGCGAGATGCCTTTAGCATCACTTGGCCTTCGAGAATACACCGCATGACCCGGGTCATCGCTGGAGGATTACAGACATCCCGGCAAGCTCTCTTGTCTTGCAAGTAAGCGACCTCGATAGCGAGGCGGTGATGCCAGAGGAATCTCAAAATTATGCCGACCTCAAACACGTCGTATGTGTACGGGAAGGCACATCTATCGAGAAATGGGGCCCACGGCTTATTCGTAATATCGATGATGACTTTACGGATCCAATGAACCTGCGAGCCCAGTCGCTGGAGAAACAGTACAGCAACCTCTGCCATAGTCGCCTCACTACGCCCCGAGTATACGTAGCTGTTCGGAGCTATGAGGAATGTGTTGTTGCTATAGAAAGCTGAAGCCACATCCGAGTAGATAGCTCGACATGTTAGAAGTAAGCTCTTCTGAAGCTGATGTTTAGTTTGGAGCACAAAGCTTATGCGCTCCGAGCTGTATTCGAAATGTCGACGGTAGGTAACCTGGACGGGCCCGGAGAACTCGACAAGAAACCCAAAGATCTTATTCCGAAGCTCAGCGGGTAGAGTAACGAGTGAATGTTTGCGCGGATCTGCCGGCTTCGAGTCGCCGCCCGATAGTGGTAAGGGGACTCTAGGATGAGCCTCAGTGAGGGCGTTGAGGGCAGTCGAATGCTTAGTTGCCATGATAATGGTGTTCCTTGATCTGAAGCGATGTGGTTGAGAGTCGTGGAGTGCGCGTAAGGTGTCAGTCAAAATCTGCAAGTCCTTAAGTACATTCAGGGTGGAGAGAATACATGGGGCTACACGAAATCGCGCCACACTGCAGCCTTGAGTCTTTCAACCCAATGGACCGTGCCCTTTGTCTTCCGACGCAGATAGTGGCCCTCACGACTTCACTACCTAGGTACCCAGACGAACGGGAAACCCCAGAGTGAAATCACAACTACGAGAGTTGGGGAATACGCCTTCAAATTGTACAGGCATCACTAAGTCTATGTGTTCAGACTGGCTCCTTTCTTAGATAGCCCAAATGATCGTATGACCCACGAGGTCGCTCAATCGAAGTGCTGACAGGCGTTGCCCCGGTTATAGGAGGTGCGTTTGCAGAAGACGTTGCATTTGTGTGTGGATTCGCACTGCTCGGAGCGGTATTGTCGGAGTCTCGGTTACCCATGGCGTGGAAGTGAGAGGTATAGTATGTGGATGTATGCTGTAGGCGCATGCGTCGAAGCGACGAAATGTAAAAGTGTATGTAGTGTGGACGTCAAAAATTGTGGTGTAGAAGTCAAGAAGAGTGATGTCTTTTTGTTATTGATGTTGTTGTTCCGACTTTGTCAGCACCTGCTCGACAGCTTCAAAGCGAAGGAACATGGCTGCGGGTGGAGCTTCTAGATTTCCGGCGATATAGGCGACGAACCCAACTCTAAAGCCGAAGAGATGTGTCGTCTTGCAACGCCAAGCGCATCGGGATAAGGTGTATCTTGAGTCGAAAAACATGACGGCAAAGTGTGGGACCATGTGGTGGGCATGGATAGTCGTGGATCCGTGAGTTCGTTTCTCCCCGTTCTTGATCATGTGGAGCACGAAATAAAACTTGGTCTTTCCCTTTAAGATCTCGTACTTCTTTGCATGACGCCCCGTTGTGTACTTGAGCTTCGGCTGCAACGACTCGTGGTCAGACATCTCTCCGTCCATCATAGTACCCTCATCTGTATTTTCCACCTCTTTCTTTGGCATCTTGCTGTGTGAACGGCGTGACATCTTTCTGTCGTCTGTCTCCAATACCGGGACGATGTCACGGAGCTTTTGAACAAGGTTGTCGCTGGAGGGCTTCTCTTCCAGAGGGATCTTGACATCTTCTTCGTTGAATGCAACATCGAACTGGTCGTAGACGTCGTTGAAGCCTGGCAGATGGGCGGTGTCTCGGCTGGCATTGGTAATGGCGGCTGTCAGCGGGTGTGGGGTTCGATTCTCAATATCCCACTGGGGGAAGTATTCCAGATTGAAGTCGGTCAAGAGGAGGGCCGCCCCGACTTGCGCGCCCAGATGTTGCATCTCCATCCTGATAGATTGCATGGGTAGAGAGCATCGCGATTGTTTGGTAGAAATAGTCTTGATCCTTAACCTTCTCTTGGAATTGCTCTAGCTCTGAGTTGCTGACGTTGGTAGGGGCTGTGCAGGTTTTCTGGAGGAAGCCGTGCAGAGCTGAGTTGAGGTCCTGTATATGCTGCAGCCTCGGCACCAGCTCTTCCCGGTAGATGACGGCAGCGTCCTAGCCGATCTGCTTTGCTATGCAACGGAAATGATGACCGTGAGTAGCATGAATGTGCAAACAAGTAGACTGCCCGGTATCGCTGCCAGAAAACCGATTTGGTCACAGAAGGTCTTGCCGACTACGATGAGAGTAAGAGCTCCCCACAACAGGCTGTGCCGACGATGTAGCCTCATCGCCTCACCAAGTAAGAGTATACGAAAACCAATGATATACTGAAGCAAGGCTTGATAGGGCAGAATATATCGATAATTCTAGTTGCTGGTGAGGAAACAATAAAGGCACACACATGTGATTGCCAGTCCTAGTACGTGCACTTTCCGCAGTACCCACAGTCTTCAGCAGAACACGCAGTGTAGTCTGGCTCAGAACCTGAGTCGTCGTCGCCACTGCCAAACCCATACCTTGCATCAACATCGACACCGCCATCATTGTATTCGTCCTCATCCGAAGCATCATCCTGAGTAGAGGAGATATTAGTCTCCGTCTTCTCCCATCTGTCGACCAAGTCTGCAGGCAACGCGTGTACGCCGTCGCCATACTGTTTTCGGATCTCTAGGCGATCCGCTCCGGGGCAATACACTTCGAGCAACTTGTTTGTGCTGCTCTTGGCGATGCCAACGATCTCATTGAGTAGTGTTGCGAAGCGGCGGATGCCGTCTCTATTCTCTCGCACCCAGGCTCGCACATCGCTCTTGACATCTTGTACCTGTATATCTTCGAAAAGGCCATGGCCGTCGTGGTAGGCCACGATGAAGTTGGATATCTGTTTCATCCAGAGCGCCGGGTAGATGTCGGTCATGTTGATAGGTTTCTTGTATTTGCCTGAGCGTGTCTTCAGGTCAAATATGGAGTGATGCGGTATTGCAGATCCGCCGTGTTCGATCTTGAGCTCTTCCAGCTTACCCATCGCGTTGCTCGGCGGACGGCCGATGGCTGCTTGCTGGAATGCTTGCAGAAGCTCATCTTGGTCCCCAGAAGTCTGTTCAGGTGCGAAATGCCGAACTGCAGGGGACTCGTCGATGTAACCATCGCTCTCGAAGCGTACAAGGCAGTCCAAGCCGCTGAACTTGTATCGTATGATGCGCTGGTGTGTCTCGGAGCCTTTGACACTCTGGTCCCATGTAGTGTATGCTTCCGGAAATGTATGACCAAAGCCTCTGATATCCTTGATAACTTCCTTGGGGTCATTCTCTTTTCGTATAAAGAAGACTGTCTCGCCGATGACCTCGATGTTGAACCGGAACGCTTTGTCGATACCACGAGCGAAGCGCAGGAGGTTGCCAAGGGTGCTTCCGCATGCGAAGACATCGGTGTTCGTAGCGTCGAATTCGGGGTCGATCTTCGTAATAGCATGTACGACGGGTGCCATTGGGAAGTCGGGATACTTTGCAGCATTGGGGTCGCGAAAGTACTGTCCGTCGTCTTCCTTCAAACGCTGTGGAGCGTGGAGTGGTGTCCAGCGAGGAGGTTTACCTAAAACTGTCAGCTCCATCTGGTTTGCAGACTACAGCAAGATGAAAGCGTGCAAAGTGGGCGGGCTAATGTCCATGTAGGCACAAAAAGAAGCCTTACCTGGAACGACGATGGTAGGTACTTCGTCGTTGAGCCAGTTGTACGACGCGACATGTTGGCAATTCGATATCTCCGCCGAGTCGATTGGTTTCAGACTCAGATCGGAGCTGCGAAACACTTTCACAGGGTCTCCAAGCGGGTGTGTCTGGAGATCCGGTTTTGGCTGCTCTCTGTTCTTTGCGAAGTGAGGCGCTCTTCCTCCGCGGCCTCGTCCTCTGCGTGGAGCCCAGCCGCCTCTGCCGCTGCCTGAAAACGAAGCCATATTGCGGAAATGTACTGACTAGTTTCGAAATTGTGAATTGCGAGGCTGAGTTATGCGCTGGATGGAAAGCGACACGCCGGCTTCAAGTATGGCATGCTGCCTAGACAAGGCTGAGTTCGTGTGGCGCTGTTTGCTCAACATGCAGGTCGCACAGCGCATGTCTGTAGGCCTCAATTCGTCCAGAGCTCACCAGAACATGCAGGCAGACAAAGATTGATGCCTCGCCGCATAAAAACCTGTGAGTCTCTTCCAATCATTCGCACAGCCCGTTATCAGAGACTCATCGCGCATGCGCTGGGGTCTGGTGCGACCTCCCGGCTACCCATTCAGAAACCTCAAAAGAGCCAAACGCCCCCCTGAGAGCGATAGAATATCGACAGATATCAGCTTGTCTTGATAGATCTTTTCTCAACGGTTCATACTTCACACGATACAAACCTCAAAAATGGCGGACCCAGACGCCGCAAAGCGTGCCACAGGGCTGACGAAGCTCTTCAACGCTATCATCCACGGTCATCGCGAGATTAAGACGGCGGGTGATAGTAATCGATTTTTGGAGGCGTTGTGTGCTCAGGAAGACGCGTCGAAGTGTGTTGAGTGTCTGATCGCGTCTTCGGCAGGGCTAGCGGCCGTCGGCGTTGCCTTCCGCACCACCGGAGATAGCGCGTTCCTCAACGGCTGGGCAACCGCCGTCATCAATCATCTGGCCCAGCCCCCTGTCAAGCAACTCTACGGCGGCCAATTCCTACAGCGCGTCCTCGAACAGATCGTCCAGCCTCCTACATTCTGGAACACCTTCGTGAGCGCGCATGATGGTCACGTGCTTTCCAGCGATGGCACTCGCGCGTTCGCGTGGCTGCTACTCGAGCTGCTATACAGTCGCTCTGAGGACATTCCAGATGTGCGAGATGTCGCAGAACGCGTCACGAAACATGGCACATTCATCAATTCAGATTCGCTAGATATCCGCAACATTGGGCATAAGATCAAGCATGTCCTTGACAGCACATCTGATCAGACCGTCGATGGCCCAGGCGGGCGACACGACAACGATTTTGCGCAAATCCACAAGATCAAGCTCTTACCAACGCCAGATGAATTTGCATCTCGCGAGCATCCATTTTACAGACGCGCTGATTCTATCGTATCTATCACGCCGGAGAGCCGCGGTCTTACCCACGTCGACAACCAATTTCGCCTGCTCCGCGAGGATCTTCTCGGCGAGCTACGTAACGACTTCCAGATTGCTAGTGGTCAGAAGAAAGGGCGACGCAAAGTGGTTCTCGAACATCTGAAGTATGCCGGTATCGACTGTGGACCAGAGACGAGACGCAAACCTTGCTCGCTGCAGCTTTTCTGTCCGGACGATGTTCCTCAGCTGCGCAACGTCAAGGCAACAAGCCGCAAGAAGTTCCTCACCGACAACAAGAACGTCCTGAAGCATCAGTCACTTGGCTGTCTCATTAGCAACGGCAACATTGTTGCATTCGCAACTGTGGACCGTGACGAAGATCTCCTTGCGAAGCAACCTGCTGTTGTCGTGCTGCGAGTGGCCGACGCCAGCTCGTTTGGCAAAGTTCTGATGGCATGCAAGCTCCAATCGGATCTTTGCTTTGTGCAAGTAGATACTGCTGTATTTGCCTATGAGCCTGTCCTGAAATGTCTTCAGGATCTGACTGAACTGCCACTGGAAGACCAGCTTCTCAGTCTTAAGCCAGACTCCGCGGAAACCCCGTCCGGCATCCAACCGACAAAGACTGTCAACGCCATTCGCGACCACTGGGAAGAGGACCTCCAAGATATCATTGGAAGCACTCATCCAATCAAGCTCGACCAGGCCCAAGCAGAATCACTGCTGACTGGGCTAGTCAAGAGAGTCAGTCTGATCCAAGGCCCACCAGGTACTGGCAAAAGTTTCATCGGAGCACTCATCGCAAAGATCTTGCACGATCGTACCAATGAGACGATGCTCATTCTCACTTACACGAATCATGCTCTGGATCAATTCTTGGAAGACATCCAAAAGGCCGGCATTCCTGCTAGTTCGATCGTCCGGCTGGGGTCAAAGTCGAATGCCAACACTCGCGCACTGACCATCAGAGAACAACCAAATAACTACAAGATGACGGGACAAACGTGGACCATGATTCAAGAGCAAAAGTCAGAAGCGGAATCTTATCATGACGCACTAGTCAGGAGGATGACATCCTTTGCGTCCATGCGGCTCAACGAGCAGATGCTCCTCGACTACTTAGAGTTCTCGGATGATTCAGAATACTTCGATGCGTTTGTTGTGCCCGACAGTAAAGACGGTATGACAGTTATGGGGAAAAAGAATAAACGCATCGACAAGTACTACCTAGTCAGGAGATGGGTCAAAGGAGAAGACGCTGGCATCTTCCTCGGTGATGCGATGCAAACCTATCCACACGTTTGGGACGTTCCGCCGCAGACCCGTCTTGAACTCCAGGCGCAGTGGAACAAGACGATACTTGAAGAGCGGGTCGCCGAAATAAGTACACTTGCCCACAAGTACAACAAATGCCGTGCCCAGATCGATCGACTATTCCGCGAGAAGAACTTCCACGTGCTCAGCCAGAGACGCATCATCGGATGTACTACCACAGCAGCTGCTATGTACACTGAAGAGATTCGCAAGGCCTCACCAGGCATTGTTCTGGTGGAAGAAGCTGGAGAGATCTTGGAGAGTCATGTGCTTACAGCTCTAACTCCAACCACGAAGCAGCTCATCCTGATCGGCGATCACAAACAGCTGCGGCCAAAAGTCAGCAACTATGCCTTGACTGTAGAAAAAGGAGATGGCTACGATCTCAATGTCTCTCTGTTCGAACGTCTAGTGCTAAGCGGAGTTCCACACACCACGCTCAGCAAGCAGCATCGTATGCGCCCTGAGATCTCGTCCCTCGTTCGATCACTCACATATCCGGAGTTGGAAGACGCAGAGAAGACTCAAGGTCGACCGAACTTACGTGGTCTTCAAAGCAACGTTATATTCGTGTCACATTCGCGCCCTGAGCTCAACGCCGTCCAGATTGCCGACAGCCGCGATGGAGGTGCTAAGTCCAGCAAGGAAAATCTGTATGAGGCCGAGATGGTATTGAAATGCGTGCGATACCTCGGTCAGCAAGGCTACGGCACGGAAGATATTGTGGTACTGACACCCTACCTGGGTCAACTATACCTGTTGATGAACACTCTGTCTAAGGACAATGACCCCATTTTAAACGATCTGGATTCCTACGAGCTCATCAAAGCGGGTCTGATGACGCCGGCTGGCGCGAACATTTCCAAACGCAAGCTTCGCATTTCAACTATCGACAACTATCAAGGTGAAGAGAGCGATATCGTAATCGCATGTCTCACACGCAGTAACGATGCTGGGGATATCGGTTTCATGTCGTCTCCTCAGCGAGTCAACGTGTTGCTATCACGAGCGCGAAACGGTTTGATCATGATCGGCAACGCAGACACTTTTATGAACAGTCGCAAAGGCAAGGAAGTATGGGTACCGCTTATGGACCAGCTGAAGCGAGACGGCCATGTCTACGACGGCTTTCCTGTCAAATGCGAGCAGCATCCCGAAAAGACCGCGCTTCTGACTGAGAAAGAACAATTCGATACGGTGTGTCCAGACGGCGGCTGCTCTGAATCATGTGGCAAACTACTCAACTGCGGACTGCATGCTTGTCCCCGTCAATGTCATCAGTTGCAAGACCATTCACGAATGGATTGCAATGTCATCATCTCCTCAACATGCCCTAGTAAGCACAAGACCACTCGAAAGTGCCATGACAAGGCGCCAGCTCACTGTCGGAAATGTGAAGCCGAAGTGCGAGCCAAGGAAAAGAAGCAGCAACGCGACCACGAGCTAGACGAACAACGAGAGGCCAAACAACGTGCATATGCCGCTCGTTTAGTCGAGATTGAGGAAGAGATGGAGCACCAGAAGCGCCTTCTGAAAGAGCAGGCCGAGGAAAGAGACCGCCAGCAAGCGCTGGAGCAGAAGAAGCAAGATCTTCGCAACCTGCAAGAGAGGGTCAAGAAATCCAAAAACGCTCCAGTGCCAGCACCTTCGACATCTACTACTACGCCGGTCCCACCATCCGATACTGCCAAACAACAAGGCGATAAACCAGCGCCAAGTACAACGACTGATCACCGTGACGATACCCCGACCAATGACGAATCCACGTCGTCAGATTCGGACGAGGACCAGCCTGATTGGGACAAGAGCGAAGCCAGAGATGATTGGGAATGGCAGAAGAAATTTGAGGGTGCGGAAAACGAAGCTCTCGACTCTCTGGTACCTATGATAGGGCTAGAATCCGTCAAGCAGCAGTTCCTCGCGATCAAAGCTAAAGTTGATACGGTCGTACGTCAGGGCGTATCACTTAAGGGGGAGCGTTTCGGTGCTGCCCTGCTAGGCAACCCTGGAACAGGAAAGACGACGGTGGCTAGGCACTACGCTAAGTTTCTGGTTGAGGTAGGAGCTTTGCCTGGTGGCCATTTCATTGAGAGCTCCGGATCAGCTCTTGCGAACGATGGTGTGTCCGCTTGCAAAACCCACATCAACGACATACTCCAAGCAGGAGGTGGTGTGTTCTTCATCGATGAGGCATATCAATTGGTATCTGGAAACAGTCCCGGCGGCAAAGCAGTGCTGGACTACCTGCTTGCTGAAATGGAGAACTTGACTGGCAAAGTCGTATTTGTTCTCGCAGGCTACCACAAGCAAATGGAAGCCTTCTTCTCCCACAATCCTGGCATTCCG